TACATCAGAGATGCAAGACTACATTGCTAGTCTACAGCAGCAATTTCAGCTCGATCCGATTTTAACAATTTCAGGCCTTCCTAATTTTGGTGTTCATAGTACAGAGTCGAGTGATAAGACAAAAGAAATTTTCTTACAATGTTCAGGTGCAGTTATCAGTTCTAAATCGGCCGCACTGCCACATTTTCAAAGAAATTTTCACCTACATGTGTAGGTGAAAATTCCTGAATCAATTTTATTTTTTTGGGCAAATCGAGTTTTTGAGTTTGTGGTTGCAGCTATGTAAAAAGCTAGCTAGTCACGTTGGATCGAGCTGAAATTGCTGCTGTAGACTAGCAATGTAGTCTTGTACCTCTGATGTAAAGGGCAAGGAAATCTAAAGTGGGCTCATACATGTCAGCTCTTTTTTTCGAAAACTGGCTCATAAAAACTAATCATGGACCATATAGATAAAATCAATAGGGAGGCCTTTCCAGATATTCAGAAACGCTCAATTTCGTTTGCTGAGCACGATTCTGTGTATTTCGTCGCAGGTTGATGCGAAGAAAGGGAAAAAAACTCAATATTTCATTTCTTCAATGTAGGAGTACCGTACTTTGTTATACCTATGCCAGACTTACAGAATGAAATTAAAGCCCAAATTACACATGATTCGATCCCCGCCATCTATCAGAGAATATTTGGCAGAAATAATATCGATGCAGAGGGCACTGCTAGTAGGCATTTACCCTATAATACTCATTTTTCAGGAACAATTGAATTTTCCCTTGTCCAGTACATAGAACCCCAGGGGCGTCCGAATAACTTGAAACTTATAGTGCGTATTCTCTGAGAGTTGCTCTTTAAAATGCATTTTTCACCACTCGTATATCTCTTTTATTGGCGGAACTATTACTAAAATACTAGGAACTTCAAAATACCCGTCTGTCACGATAAGGAAGGATCATCGAGTGGGATTTTTGCTAGTTGTGATATAAACTCGTATGTGTTCTATCCGAACAATGTATAAAAAAAGTTTCTAAAATCTTTCGTGCTGCATGGAACGGGAATGAAAAAATGTTTTTGTCTCCAGGTCTTACTGTTCAGGAGTTTTCTGGAAATCAAGGTCCAAAAAGGACTCTGAAGTCTTTCCCAAGATTTTTTAATATACTCAAGCTGGAGAGTTCGGGTTTGTTTTATTTTATACTAGATACCTAACTACATGGACTGACCGGCGCTGATTTTTAAAGTAAGCCTTTATTGGTTTTTCAGGCAACCAACAACCTGCAAATCCCGAAAAAGCCTTCCGGATTTTCTAAAAGTCCTCAGTTTGACAAAAAAACCAAGACCTAATTCAAAAATCGACGCTAGTCAGTCGATGTAGTTTCCTTTCCTCTTTTAAAAAAAAAGAATGAACTCTCTATGACAAACCGCGCTTAAAAATCGTGCGACCCAGAGTATCCAGGAAAAACTATTATTTAAAGACGCGTTTTTTCGAGGCTCTTAGAAAACTTGCTCAAAATTCCGGAAAAACCAGTTTCGCAACCAAAAGCAATACATATTGTGGAAGTAGATACTTCAAGCTATCTTTCCATGTGCGTATCTCAAAACCAATTTTTTGAATGAAAATCACCATTTCTGAGGGGGACCCTTAAGGCTCTATTGTTCATATTTTAAAAGCTGAATATTTCTCAATAAGGGTTCCCTATACATCGAAAAGTTACAGGCATTTTCCTAGAAGGCATAAAATCGACTATTTCATACAGCGTTTAACACAGCGTTTTCGCTATATAAGAGTTACACCTGAAGTGCGTCTCAAGATTTTTAATAGCGGTTTGTCGTAGCGAGTTCATTCTTTTTTTTAAAAGAGGAAAAGAAACTACATCGACTGACCGACGTCAATTTTTGAATTAGGTCTTAGTTTTTTGTCGAACTGAGGATTTTTAGAAAATCCGGAAGGCTTTTTCGGGTTTCGCAGGTTGTCGGTTGCCTGGAAAACGAATAAAGGCTGAATTGAAAAATCAGCGCCTGTCAGTCGATGTAGTTAGGTGTCTAGTTTAAAATAAAACAAACCCGAACTCTCCAGTTTGAAGTATATTAAAAGATCTTGGGACGCCGTTCAGGGTCCGTTTTGGACCTTGATCTCTGAAAAACTCCTAAACCGTAAGACTTGGAAACAAAAAATACTTTTCATTCCCGTAACTCATTGTGCCGAACATTTACGGAAAGTTTCGTCAGAATCGGATGTATGGTGCCGGAGATAATTTCTGAGGGGGGCCCTTAAATCGTTAACTATTTTCCACACATCTGTGATCTTATGTCGTTTGAACGCTGTATTCAAACCAGATATTTTCTCTTTGAGATACTCCACTTCATCCTTCTTTCATTCCTGTCCAACTTTTGAGGAGAGTTCTTTCCATTTAGAGCGGTTATCTGCTGTTCTAGTACGTTCATAGAACAATTTTGCATTATCCCGTTCTTTCGTCAGCATGATTGTTCTTTCTTTGAGCCAGGTTTTCTTACTGATCTTTTTCTTGCGTCCCAGCACCTCAGTTGCTGTAACATCTATACTTTCAATCAGCATATCATAACACTTCTGGATCTTGACCTTCTCACCTTTATCCAAATTTGGTTGATCATTTGGTCTGACATTTTGAAGAGCTTCAAATCTATTCGCTAGCACCACGTTGAATCTCTCTTTTACCATATCATTCTTTAGACTTGCACAGTTGTAACGAATGTTTGTGACACCACATTTCTTTGTAGCTCTTAATCGTAATTTGAATTTACAGCATACAACTCGATGATCTGAGTCAACGTTCATTGTGTTGTAAGCCCTACAATTACGAATCGAATTACGCCATTTTGAGTTGACAAGGATATGATCTAACTGTGCGGTTTGACCAGATGTATGTCTCCAGTCCACAGTCGACCTTGACGATGTCTAAACCTTGATTGTATTTCTTGCATGTCACACATTTCACATAATTCAATCAACCTCTCTCCATTGTCATTCGTTTTATCATGGTACAACGATGACCCAAATGTTCTAGATGACATATCTCTTCCAATTCTGGTATTCATATCAACTAATACCAATTTTACATTGTGCTTTGGTATAGACTTGATACAATCTGATAGAGCATCATAAAACTCACTCTTTTCATCGCCGTTTGCATATCGGTCGGAGCATACGCTGATAGAATTATCAAAGCTGGATTGCCTGCGAAATAAGCAACTATGATTCTATCATTGACTCTTTCAATGTTCATTAGCAATTCTTTATACTTGGTCTTCATTAATAGTCCAACACCGCCATTTCCTTCTCCCATTGCTGATGCCAATCCTAGCAGCCATTCGCCATCATCCGAATATCTATATTCAATCTCTGTATCTTTAGGTCTTTGACTATGTTCTTGTATAGCGACAATATCTACGCTGTATATCTTGTTCCTTACAGCCTACTATGAGTTGTTCGAACTTGTATTTGTTTAGAGTTCTGACATTGTACGTTGCAATCGTCAGCACGTCTTTTATTCGTTTCAATTTTGGTCTTGAGCTTCTTGCTTTATCAGTAGCATGAGCCTTTTCGGTTTCCCCATGTTCCATCATCATTACATCATCTAGATGTTATTGCAATGCTGCTCTTGAGCGAGTAATTCTGGTTGATTCTGTGATTTTCATAATCATTATTTGACCACTGAGCAATTAAGTCATTGGTGCCATATGGGAGATTAGCCCTCTATGATCTTTATTGGTCAGTTTTCACTCAGACAGCGACCAACTTATCTGAGTTATTCACTGTATAGGTCTTTCTGAAGTTAGGCTAGACACTTGCCCTATCCTCGTTCTGTCGAGCGATAAATTCATCAGATTATTCCAAAACCCACATCGATAGTCTATCAGATATTGCTGTTTCCCAATGTCTAGGCTAATACCAATGACCACTCCAGGAAGTTCATCTACCTTTCGAGGTCATCCCCTATGCCAGGAGCCATACCCTGAACCATAACCTTACCATATCCATACCCAAACATCGTCAACCTATATTTTGTGATCAATTGCAGACCCATAGTTTAACGTCATTGCGGACAGTTCAATAGGCTTAGACCACACTTAGATCCAATCTTGAGAGCTAATCAAGCAGGCTTCAGACAAGGTAGGAGTTGCATATGTCAAATATACATATTGAGAAGAATTTTGGAGGGATGTCATAAAAAGAATCTACCATTTGTTGCAACATTTGTGGACTTCAAGAAAGCATTTGATTCCATAAATCGTGTTATGATGTTTAATATCCTTCGAAATTATGGAATCCCGCAAAAAATAGTAGATGTAATTAGGTTATTATACGATACATTCTTAGGTAGCGTACTACTAGATGGACGGTTAACAAAAGAATTTAGAATATCTACCGGACTATTACAAGGTGATGTCCTAGCACCATTCCTTTTCATTATTGTCATTGACTATATAATGAGAAGATGTGAGATGGACAAATATGGGTTTATATGTGAAAAAAGGACATCTGCAAGACATTTGGAAAAGAGATTAAGTGGCTTGGATTATGCAGATGATATATGCCTTTTAGAAAATTCTATTCAGGAAGCGCAACAACAACTAGATGTTCTTAATTCGAATGCTGTAAGAATTGGTCTAGAAATAAACATTCCAAAACGGAATATATCACTAATGTAAATGCTGCTGACACATTAAAGGTAAATGGTGTTGATCTTGGAAGGGTGCAGAACTTTAAGTATCTGGGTGCACACCTGGAATCATCAGAAAAGGATGTAAACATAAGAATCGGACAAGCATGGTCAGCTTTTTGGAAACAGGAAAAAATCTGGAGAAGTAATCATCTGCCGGGTGCCATCAAAGTTAATCTGTTTCAGTCTTCTTGCCTATTCATCCTGGTATACGGCAGTGAAACATGGTTTATAACGGAAAACCAATGCCACCATATACAACACACAAGGTGTGGACAAGCTGATAAAGACAATTGTTAAAAGACAGCTCGAATGGGTAGGACATATTTGCAGAACTCCAGATGCTAAGCCCTTGAGAAAATTTGGCTTCTATCAACGTTTGCATGGTACAAACAATCCAGGAAAGCAACCCCAGGATTATGTGTTCAACTTGCTAAATAATGGTATTCACGATAAGAAGTATTGGAAAGTGATGGAAAAAATTCATTGCAAAAAGTCTTTTTGCAATGAAAAGCTACTAATGAAAGATGTAAATAATTTTTGTCTTGTCTATTATGAACTATGTCGACCTGTTCTTACATATTCTGATATATTCGAAATGGTTGTGACTGAATTCAAAAATTTCTTTTCGATTTTCATGTGCATTCTAACTACTTGTTCAAAACTATTAACTCGAAAACTTTAGATTCCAACGTCACACATTCAAAAATAAGTACACAATGGTTTTCATCAGTCGCTAAGTTTGTTAATAGAAAATATAGTAAAACTTTTACTTGACATATTATCATTCTTAGTATCTCAGTAGATTATTTAAACCCATCATAAAACATACTGAACGGCAACTCATTGTTAAGCGGAAATGCTAGATATTTAGAATATTTAATATTAGAATTCTTAGTTGCGGTTACATAAGATAAAAAATATTAGCAGTGATAAGGTTTTCCATTTTTAAGATTTGTGTTATGTAACTTTTGATTTTTACTGAAAAATGAAAGAGAAATTTTGAAAACACATAGGAATCCTTGATTCTCTTGTGGTACGTCTATTAAACAAACTTTCCCATAACTTAAATCTGGCCACAACAATTTCGAATACATTAGAATGTGTACGAACACGTCAACTTAATTCAAAGTAGACAGAAGAAAAGTATTACGATCTTTTCCTAGTAGTTTTCTTTGCAAAAAGATAAAATTGAACCCAACAAACTCAGAACTCTATGTTCTATTAGTTTGTATTACTTCTAAGTTACGCAGTATCATAGTATGTCAGGGCATACATCAAAAATATCTAATTTATTTTCATCGAAATAGCAGCAACTGCTGAGGAATTGCCGTATGAGTAGCGTATACATATAGTCAGCGTTCAGCATGTTAAAAGCTTTTTTTTCTATGATATGGCTAATGATACAATTATATAATGAGATTTATCCGTAATTTTAGGTAGCGGCAAAACGACTTTGTTAAATACACTTGCTGGTCGTGCTTTAACAGGTGTATCGGTTACAGTATTAATAAATGGTACCTGTTATCAAAAAAATATGAAACGTAAACTGGCTTGTGTATTACAAGAAGATCTGTTTTTTGATAACTTGACTGTGAGAGAGCATTTAACATATACAGCGTTCTTAAGATTACCTGGTCACTATACAAAACACGAGAAATTAGATCAAGTCGGAAAGATCATCGATACACTTGGTTTAAAGAAATGTGAGAATACAAAAATATCACTTATTAGTGGCGGTGAAAAGAAGCATGTCAATATTGGCTCAGAATTACTGGCAGGCCCAAATCTCATCTTTTTAACGGTAGGTTGTGAACGGGATTTTCACAATTAACTTCTCCTTATTTAACGGATTCGATATAATTGAAGAATGTCTTGCGAAAAAATTATTCTTTGGCTCGTTGTCTCATTTTCGACCCTATACATTATAAATTAATACGGTAAAAGACGAGTAGATTAATAAACCTTTTAAGGTATATGAAAGTGCAACGGATAATAAAAAGTCTTTTTATCGTGCATGAAAACTTCCATAAACTGTCGAAGAGTTCATGGTTATAGTAAAAACTCTTCAAATATTTTTGAAAGCCTTCAAGTACGGCAAAAAGAGCTTTTTAATGTACTATTTTTTCTACAATACAGGATATTCAATAAAGAGCAGTTTCCAAAGAATGCAAAATAAAATAAAATTACTTCTCTTTTCTGAGAGGAACAATCCTATCAGAGATGCGTAAGTTAATTCAGTTTCTTGAAGTTTGCACTCTAATTCTGACCAAAAAGACGTCAACTTCAGAGTGCGAATTGCCCATGACGGTATTTAATCATTAATCAATTAGGAGTTTCTTTTAGTTGTATTACATTTTCTATCTGCATCCATTAGTATTTATCTTACGTCGTAAACTTGTTTTGGTTCATTTCTAACAATTTATGAAACGAGCTAGATTCGAACTGGAGTTGTAAAGAAACGCTATTTTCAACGCTGCTTTTAAGTCGTTTGAATTCTACTTTAACTGAAATTCTATGCAGCTCTACTTCATCTGTTAGAATTGACAAAGCAATTCTAATTGAAATCTCACTAAAAGAACTCTCAATTTCAAAATCAGATTTGTCCACCTCTGGATCTCATATTCGGAAAATGTTACATTCGTCCACTCTACCGGAATTAAGAGATATTTAATTGTGTTATTTCACTTATGCAGTTTCTAGAAATTTGAGACAGTTGTACAGACTATCCGACTATGTGTCCACTTCAGAAATTCAAGTATCACCACTATTCAACAGAGCCAAATCCAACACATCTTTTTTCTATTTTTGTGTTAGATAGATTTCTATTGCCATGCGAATCTCTTAAGGGGATTGTTAGGTTCCCGGGTAAACTAGGATCTTTCTCGCCTAACGTTTATTTACAAATAAAAAAGATATCTTTAACAATAAAATTGATCTATTTATATACGAAATATTGCGTGATAGCCTTGAGTAGACTGTGTAATAACCTTGACTAGGGTCTACGCAATAACCTTGAATATATTCTTGCATCATAGCATTGACTATTCTTGCCCAACAACCTTCAGTATATTCTTACACCATAGCACTGAGTATTCTTGTGCAATAATCTTGACCATAGTCTTGCACCATAACCTTGAATAAATTTTTCTTGTATGATGTAGCTTGGGTGGCGTTTACTTTTGCACATAATCCTAAATATGTCTGACCATTATAATAAAATAGTTCAACTTAAATTAGGGCTTTTAAGAGAGCCGGAGGAAAAAACTTTTGGAGTGCCCTATGTATTTTGTTGTTCTCGAAATATCATTCAAACAATGCTCGAAACTAATCAGATTTTCATGAGTTTTCATAAGAAGCTGACTATTATCAAATTCGTCACCTTAGTGGTCTCGACTATTTGATATCATTTTTAAGACCTATCTGTCCTCTAGCTATACAATAAAAATCAGAACTCTCTGTCGACTCAGAGCACGTGCACAGGTCAGTTTTTATTGAGCCATGTGTGATCGAAATAAGCATAAAAATATTATATCAAGAGGAAGCAAAATTCTCAATAGCATAGTATCAAAATGCATCCAAAATGTTCGCCATGTCCAGATATATCATTCTATGTGTGCTCCAGAATGATAGATTGAAAAATAGTCAGTGGACTGATTTGTGGTCTTATACGCCCCGTCCTTTTTCGGATGTATGTGACTATGTTTCAATGCTGAATTGCTGTAAATCGTATTCATTTCGGTTACATATTCCAGTATGATTAGAATTTTATTTGGATGAATTCGTGAACTTGAGTTTCCTATTCAGATAAAATTGAAGAAATAATAGATGCAATACAATATATATATTTATATATATTGAGTAAATCAAATCAATACAGATATATTTATTTGATATTTCGTCTCAATAACAAATGGCGCCCGACAACTTACTTCTACTCGTGTAACTTATGGCGCCAAATCTGGACTTAGTTTTGAAAAAAGAACGTGCATTGATTAATCTCCAATGTCAGGAGAATATCCTACCTTTTTCAGAATCCATAGTTGTCTAGATTACGAGGTGCACATTTTTCCTAAAACGTGGACGAAAGAAAGAAGAAAATAAAGTAGAGAGCAATTGTGCTGTGCACAAGTTGCGATGTCGACAGATTCTGCCTCTGCTGATAGCTGCCAAAAGTTATCAATTCAATCAGCAGATTTCCACTGCACCGCTTTCACTGTGATTTTCTATTTCAGTTACTCTAAAACACAAGATTAGAGAGAATAACAGAACAGAGAACGAAATACAAAGAAGAAATGACAGCGAATTGTTTTTCTTTTTAAGAACAAATGGCACCGAACAACTGATGCTAATGAAATTTAAAAAACTTTCAAGTCCAAAACACATTTTTTCCTTACTTATTCAGCCTATAGCGCCGAATCTGGACTTGTGCTTGAGAGAAGGACGCACAGTCGTCATTTTTCGCTGGAGCACGCGGACATTAACTTTATAAGTGGACTGAAATTATCTGAATTACTTTCTATAGGTTTTCGACGATTCGCTTTCCAATGGAATAGTTTTCCAGTTTCGACAAAATTTTCCAGTGGGTTTTTCAGAGACTGGATTTATGGAAAACCCTTTGAAAAACGTTTTTAAACTGGAAAACCATTCCATTGAATAGAGCATCGTCGACAACCTATGGAAGCAGTTTTTTCAGACCTTCCACGCTTTCTCTCTTGAATTTTGAATTTTCAGCGGAAAGTTCTTCGTGTGAATCCAAAATCTAAGAAATTTATAGAATTCAGAACGGAAGGATCGAATTCAGATGAATTATATACTATTCTTGCAGTTTTCGCGGTGATTCCGAATATACATATATCATGTAGAAAAACATGTTTTTTGAGTGCGAAAAGGTCAGTTTACCTCAAAAACCGAGAGATTTTGGAAAACCAGTATCTCAGTCCAGGAAAATATGCGCACTTTTGCACATTCACCATAGGTCCACGGCCTCTCGAGGAACATTTTGGTATAAAAATATGTTAGTTCACACTTGCGCTAAGCTGCGAGTTCTCAAAATACCGGAGAGAGCCTTTACAGCCTAGACCGTTTTCGAAAGAATTCATTACAAAACTCTTAAGTTTCACTCGAAAAATAAAATTCTTTTTTATTTCGTATTCGTCTGACTGTGTTCTTTCCGAATATGATCTCGGTTTTATTCTAATTTACTATCCTTCAATAAAAATCGAAATTTTCGGCAAAAATAGCGCATTTACATGATGTTTTTGCATTTCAAATCTTTTATAGAAGGAAAAGTCGTAGAATAAAAGTTCTTTTGCCATTAAATCGGCCGTCACTCGAAGTATATGAAACACTGTTTAAATTACGAAAAAGCAAGCTCACTGTTTTTTTCTAAATTTCCGCCTGAATGCCCACTGTGGGACGTGCATTGATCAATTTCCAATGTAAAGAGAATATCCTACCTTTTCCAGCTTTCATAGTTCTCTAGATCACGAGGAGCATATTTTACCCAAAAAGGGACGACCGAAGAAAATTAAAAAAGAAAATCCCAGCC